CGCGCGGCGACCCCGCGGCGGCGCGCGAGGAGCTCGCCGCGCTGGCGCTCGAGCGCGCGCGCGACGTCGCCGCCATGTCCGAGGAGCGCGAGCGCCGCGGCGACGAGCTCGCGGGCGCGCGGCGCGAGGCCGCCGCGTGGCGCGAGCGCTTCGAGGCGAGCGAGCACAGCCGGCTCGAGGCCGCGGGCGCCGCGGACGGCCTCCGGGCCGCGGAGAAGCAGTGCGGCCGGCTCCGCGCGCGCAACGACGCGCTCGGCGACCGCCTCCGCGCGGCCGAGGCCGCGGCGGCCGCCGCCGAGGACCGCGAACGCGACGCGGACGCGCGGTCGCGGCGGCTCCAGGCCGCGCTGGACCTCGCGCAGGAGGAGATCGACCACCTCGGCGCGACGATGGCCCGCATGGCCCGCGACCGGGACCGCCTCGTCGACGCGCTCAACCGCCAGGACAACGTCCTCTACGGCGAGGGCGCGGGGCCGAGCCCGAGCGCGACGCGGTCCGCGCGGTCCGCGCGGGCCGACGCCGCGAAGCCCCGCTGGAGGCAGGCCGGCGCCGCGCCCCGCCGGGCCCCCGGCGGCCGGCGGCCCCCGCCCCTCCTCTAACGACCCGTCCCGCGGCGCCCCCGACGCTTACCAGAGCGGCGCGTCGTCCGCGTCGCCGAGGTGGGACGCGGCCGCCGCGTCGTCCGCGAGCGCCGCCGCGAAGGCCGCGAGCACGCCGCGCGCGTCCCGGCCGGCGAGCGCGCGGGCCGCGTCGCCGGCGCAGGCGCCGCGCCAGGTCGCGTCGGCCGCGCCGCGCGCGGCCGCGCCGGGCCGCGGCGCCGCGTTCGCCGCGAGCCGCGCCGCGTCGCGCGAGAAGAGCGCCGGGGGCGCCCGGGGCGCCGGCGGCGGCGCGGGCGCGGGCGCCGGCGGCGCGGCGGCGGGGTAGGCGGCCCGCTTCCGCGGCCGGGGCTTCGGCGCGGCCGGCGGCGCGTTCTCCTCGCCCCGGGCCGCGAGCCACCGCGCCGCGGCGTCGCGCGCGGCGCCGTGCGTCGCCGCGGCGTCGCGCAGGACCTCCCGGAGGTGGCGCGACACGTCGTTGGCCCGGAGGGGCACGTCGTCGCCGACGGCCCTCGCCTTGTGGAGCCAGCGCTCGAGGAAGGCCGCGTCGCGCTCGGCCGCGGGCGGCCCGGGCGCGGCGTCGGCGTCGAGGCGCGCGCGCGGCTTCCGGAAGTCGTAGCCGCACTCGTCGAGGACCCGCCGGCGCCGGTCCGCGTCGGCGCCGGCGTGGCCCGACGCGCGGAGGCGCTCCTCGACCGCGCGGCGCCGGACGCGGCGCCGCGTCGGCCCGTCGCCCGCGCCCGCGCGCCGGAGGTCGTCGTCGCTCGCGACGGACGCCGCGCCGACGCCGAAGAGGTAGGCGCCGTCGATGAGGCGGTTCATGAAGTCCTCCGCGAGGTGCTCGAAGCCGTGGCGCGCGAGCCACGCCGCGACCGCGAGGCGGCTCCACCTGTCGGGCCGCCGCGCGTCGCGCGCGTTCCACGCGGCCGCGAGCGTCTCCGGCGACGGCAGCCGCCAGTTGTAGGGCTTGCAGGAGCCCGACCGGCGCGCGTGCGTCGACCGGTAGGCGACGACGTCGCCCGCGGCGAAGACGCGGTAGACGGGCGCGCCGTCGAGCGCGGGGTCCACCGCTTCGCCGTCGACGGCGAGCACGGCCGTCTTCGCGTCCTCGGCGGCCGGCGTCGCGCTGCGCCGCTTCGACGCGCGCTGGGCGTGCCAGTAGAGGCGCGTCGCGATCGTCAGCCGCAGGTCCGCGACGGCGCACCGCGCGTCGACGGCGAAGCGGAACTTCGCGGCG